ATAATTACTTACTGACTGTCAATTAATGCCTCAAAGTTAGTAGCCTTTCATAAACTGCCTTTCACAGATTGTTGGTGTGAAACACATTTTCAGTGTAAATCTGCAATGAAGAACATGTAACAACACAAGCACTGTTACTACCCTACCCTTGCTCTTTTTTTTGCTTACTTATGAGAGAGGTTGAAGACTGACAAAACAGACTAATCTCAGGCCATCACCTACATAGTTTAACAAGAAGGTGATAGAATCTAAGAAATGCTATTTTGACAATATGGTTTAAACACTCTTTTGAAAGAAATAAAGGTAATACACAATCAGTCAGGTAACTTCATCCTGGGCAGAAATACCTTTTTACATCTTTCTCATGTCCCTCATGCCCAAGGACTTCCTTAGTCCTGCACCACAGACCTAGTGCATTCACTGAGGAGTTTGGGAGGTGAAACCAGGTCTTCTCACATGTGAAGCTGTACAACTCTCATTTGATAAATCACTGAAAATCTTTTCTTATTACTGTCAGTATTTCAGCTGGTTCCCCAATCTCAAATTCATTTGAACCATACAGGTTAAGAGCCATAGATATTAAATTCACTCACCCCTGAAATAATCCCCAGAACATTAACTGTAGTATAAGAGCCTTTAGACATCCATTAAAAATATCTGGACTTGAAGCTAGACAGCACTAATGTCATCCTGCCAAAATCATGTTAGGTACAGCTGTCCTCATCAGGCAGCTTGGACTTTTAATGATCAAAATCATACTGTGCACCAGGCTACTCACTCAAATCCTGGCACGTCTCTCTATGGCCGCGCATGAGCTGCCCAAGATCCTGTTTCTAAAGCCCACAAATTCCTTTTAAATTCTAAACAAGACAAAGTTGGTTCCTGAACATGAAGCAATCCAAAATAAGCTCACCAGGCCCTACATTAGCAAAAAAAAACCTTCTAAGAGCTAGTAATGGCTTACATTTCTGGTGTAGAAGAAGTTTCTCAACACACTTAGAAATTATGGCAAGCTTTTCAGTAATCTTGAGACTCAGAGAGTTGTGGCGTGGCCCCAGCAAACTTTGAAGATCACAATACCCTCAAAATTTGCTGTGCAGAATCCTCTTTGGAGACAAGCATCTGCATGATTCAAACACAAGAGGACTGGAGTAACAGGTGAAAATACAGGACTTAATAGGAGAAATTAGTGCTCTTCAAGGACTGCAGATTAGAGTTCAATGCGACAAAAGGAAAATTATGCTAGTAAGGTTATGTGAAGATTGCACCCGGAAGCAAAAAATAGAGGATGTATTTATCATCTGCGAATATTTGTTGGTATTTCTGCAAGTCAGAAGCATGTGCTCAATTCAGGCTCTGACAATGTTTGCTGGTACTCTATTCTTCACTCAAAGAAAAATAAAATAGTTCTTTGCAGTTTCAGTTTTACCCCTCCCCCTCCAAAATCTGAAAGTTGCTGAATTTTGAAGCAGATAGACTTCATTATTTAGAAAAAAAAAATAAAATAGTATTTTGACTTAAGGCAAAATCGCACTCCAGATTGTTGCTTGTAGTAGAAAGTTCCATTGTGCTGTAGCAGGATTCTGTCAGTGTTTAAAACACAGGGTTTTTTTTTCTCTTATTGGACTTATTGGAAGAAAAACTAAACGGGATGCTACAATAAGTTAGTCAATATCTGGCAGCACTAGTGCAAAGGTAACAGCACCAACTGTGGTTAAGATGAAGGTGTTCACACATGGACCGATGTCCCCTTTCCTGGAGAAACAGCGCAGATGATCCATATAATTTCTCTAATACCGGAAAAATATTAATACATATTAACCTATCCTGCCTATCTTAACCTTTCTAAGTTACCTTAAACATGTTTGCAAGAAGTTGAAGATAACAGTTGCAACCTTTGCCAGTTTCCATGTCAGTTTCCTGTTTGTAAAAAACAGCATTTTTAGGAGTAGCTTCTGATTTATAACCTTGGTGTGCTGAAGCACAACACTAATGAATGAAGACTGCTGTAACAGTTCAGGTACATATGCTGTAAGGAACGCTTCAAAATGCAATCACAGCTAGAAATACCAGTTTAAAAAAACACATTAGACAACAGATCTGCCACGTGTTCATGTTTTTTTAATTTTATTAATGGCTGGCAAATATATTTGTTGCAGACAGTACACAACTGTGTACAGAAATCGTACAAAAACTTAGTCAAACCCTAGAAAATACAGGTTCCATTTTTCAACAGCTGTAACTAAGCACCAACAATATAAAATCTAGTTAAAGTTGCATGGTAACATTCATTACAATTTTTACAACAGAATTTATTACCTATTGATAGCAATGGTGCCAGCTGCAGCACTATTAAAATAAAATAAAAATATTTCAGCAGAGGTGCACAAAGAACTGTTCACTCACTGCTTCTTGTCTTACAGTAACGTGGTAAGCCCCATAACATTTTTTTAAATAATAACAGGAAGAAGTCTTGTGTCATGTGGCTGGTGACTCCTGCCAACTCACTCTGCAACTATTATAAATATGATTTGCTTATTATCTACCACCAGTATAGCAATATTGATAGGTAAATCATAAGAACTCAAGCTAGAGTGCCACTTGCTAAACACAGCACAATTTTATTGTACTTGTCTGAAATCTATGCAAACTCTTTTTAAATAGAAAAGTATGCTTATCACATTCTGAAAAATATATGGAGAAACATAGTAATGGAACATAAAATCTCAGTGGGTAGAAGGAATTAAACAAATATCTTGACTACACGTCCACTATGCAAAACTAATATTCAACATTCCACAGTGAATTAAAAGCAGATTGCCTTTTATCAATGAAAACAAACCTATTCTGAAAATGAAAACAGCCACAGGATGTTTTCCTTCAAATATTTCGAAACTCAAGTTAATGAAAAGGTAAACAATGTGGTCTGCATTTCATGTGACCTACAGAATACTGCTAGGGGTAGAAAATCAATGATTTTTTTTATTGTATGTTTAATAACTAACTTTGGGAAAAGAAGAAATAATATATTGGCGAATTAAGTTTTGGTAAAGCACAGAAGGGATGCATTCTTTAATTGGGGATATGTTACGGTCAACCAATAGCAACCAATAAAGTAATGATGGCTCAGCCACCACTTCTCAACAGTACTGTAATAATTAATTGTACATGTTCTTCTACTGCAGTGAGGTTAAAAAGCCTCTAGGGGTTAAAAAAAGCATCAGCACCCATCCATAAACTTGATATGAAACATAAGACCCATTCATTACAAGATGTGAGATTAAGAGACTTCCATACCACTGAGAAACAAGACCAGCAGCAGAAAATAACAGAAATAACAACAGTTCTGAAAACCAAAACAATCCCATGAAGATACCTGTATTATCTGTTTTGAAGGATTACAGCTAAATGAGAACATATTTTAAGTAAATATAGAAAGCATACAGTCAGCCATGACTATGAATACATCAAAAACAATGGGACAAAATAAACTAGTAAGATTAATATTATTCCTTCAGTATTCTTGGCAAGAAAATTGTCCTCTTAGACAATAAAATTCCAACTGTGAACCTGTAATCTCCTCTGAAACAACAGCATCAATTATTTCATTTTGGGGCTCCTATACTTTATAAGCATAAGCCTGATGCATTGAATTTTTGGCAGAAGAAACTCCTACAGGAAGTGACAAAAGGTCTAACTGTTTGAATTCAGCATCCATCTTTAAGCATGAAATCCCTCTTCATCTGTCCTCAAACATCCAGAATCTTTACTTCTGCCCCATTTCTAACATTACGGTGACCAGTTTCTGACTAGCTCGCCTTCAGACTGGAAAATCTTGGTCAAACAAATTTAGAAGAAAGATGCTGCTTTTTAGCTCCATGTCAGTATATCTGTGACCTTTTCATTACTCTCTTCTAGCATGAAGAGAAGGAAAAGCAGTGAGATGCTTCCATCCAAACACTGCTCCAGATATATGAAAACCTATGATATTTTCCTATTAACTTGATTTTACTAACATGAAGCATGGAAATCCTACTACATGCTATACTAACAGCTGAACTACATCACACAGGACTATGCTTTGCAACAGAATAGTTATATTAAAAACTGATCATGCCATTATAGGAGGAAATGACCCAATTCTGCATTAAAACTTAGCCTGTGGACCATAAACATTTCAGACTCCCCCAGTGGACCACCCATAGGAATTTAGGATAGGATAACGTGGAGGAAAATACAGATCATGTATTGATATTTTTTTTATTTTTTATTCAGAATTGCTTTCTGGCATCACTTCTGCAGCACATCACTTAAAATGGTACTTGTTTCTGCTCTTCTTCACTCTTCTTTTAGAGCCTCCTGTCTGTTCTAAACCTCAACTGCTTATTTTAACAAGAACTTTCCCACTTGTATGACTTCATTTAATCTCTTACAGACATCACTAGTTAGACAGTTAACATTTCATCATGTACCATCAGTTTGCTTCAGGAGAAACACTGCACTGAAATTAATGAGCCACAGGGGTAATAAAATTTCACCTTTATTTCAGGGTAATGTTTGTCATGTTTTGTTCACGTGGAAACTTCTCTCTGCCTCTAAAATTATTTAGAGTCTTTTTCCAACTGTTGTTGAAAGCTTAGATTATTTACACTAACTGAAACATGTATATGTACTATATAAACAAAACAAATCTATTTATAAAGACTTAAAACCCACTACTATGCTTCCTGGTATTTTATTCCAGTTACTAGGGATTAGCCCACCAGCCTAGATGACGAGCCACTTATACTAAACAGCTATACCATTTTTTTTTTTTTAATATGTCCTAGTGGATAAATTTCCTTAGAAAAGAAAGTAAGACCTACAATGAAGATGCAGTATAACATACAGAACACACTGTGCACATGCATGTACTCCCACCCACACAAGTACCTTTTTGTAAGGAGTGCTCTCACACTCACAGAAGCAGGGGAAAGAAAATAAAAAACAACAAGACTTACCTTTCTGCAGACACTTTCAAAATTAACTTCTGTCCTAAGAGCAAGTCTGGTAACTTCATCTGGCTTTACTTCCTGTGGGCAAAAGATATATTTATTCTTCTCATGATAAGATTTTATGAAGTTTTTCTAAGGTTCACATTCCTCATAAACATTCTAACCTCATGGCATCTCCCACTGATCTCTTACAGGAAGAAAATCAGTTTGTTATATTGAGATTTTTTTGGTGTGTATGTAAACACTACATTTAATGACTTCCAAAACATTCACTTCCACCTAATCTCACTGTATCTACTACTATTGAGGGCAATAGAGATTTTCAACAGCAAAGTATGCAGAAGGGTGATTTTATTTACAGATACCTTTAAGTTGCCGGTGATGTTGTGCTACAACTAAATTTAGGAAGGTTTGAAATGCCCCACTTGATCCTTGACTCTGAAGTTACATCAGAACTCATCAACATACGTGAATATGTAAGTTGAAGAAAATGAAAATGAAGTTGAGAAACAAATATTCTCTTTTCTGAAGAGACTGACTGTAGCCTTTGTTCCTGGACTTAAGCATTTCCATTGGCAGCTGAAATAGAGGAATGAAAATCCTGGGCAAGTGGATTTTGTTAAATGTTGAATATTTTGTGAAACATGCCCACACGAGATATTTCTCATTATTTTAAAATATATACTTTATCTATGTTGTATTACAAAATGTGCTATTAACCTTATCAATTGCACGCACTGAATACTGGCTTTGTCCTCCTAGGGCACTGCGTCAAATAAATCATGTTACATACCAGTTGTTTGCCAGATGGCCATTTCAAAAGCAGGTTAACTACTGTTATGCAGAGCCTAAATAACTTCCACGCATTCATAGTCCTGAAAAACTTTATACAAAGAAACCTAGTTATTCTGGTAGCTTTCATCTAGACCCAGGCTATACCACAATGTCTGTGCCTTCAACACCCGAAGAAAATTATCTGTTTGCTGAATTTCTGAAACTCCAGGAAGGCAGATGACTTTAACATAAACTACAGTAATTTTGCAATATTTGTGGTCAATAAAAAAGACAAAAATGTAAATTGCAAGTGCCCATGCAAAGTCTTATAGTTTGAGAAAATGAGACATGTCCAGGTGCTGGGGCTCCACCTGTAGCTAACATTACACTCAGACCTGGACAAGAAAGACCCTTAAAAGCAACTACTGCTACTATTGGCTCAGAATAATTAATGTATTAGCAAAGATTCAAATGCAAATCAAATTACAGGAGAGATGATAATTTACAAATGTCTAGAAAAAAAAAAGTACTGTATAATAAGGAAACACTATTTAGTTCAACAACTAAATTATACTTGTTCCTTTTTCTCTTTTTCCCTACTTAATCATCCTTGATAAGTATACCAGCACTTTCATTTAACATCTTGCTCCACTGTTAAACTTCCATATTCTATCCTGCTCCTGTCCTAAATCTGCAGTAGTCTGCGCACTTCCTTACATGTAATTTCAAGAAGAACGAAGCAGCTTACTTTCTTACAGAGGGTCATACCTTGCATTTCAAAACCTTACGTTGTCCTTCCTTCTATATATTGGATACCTTACAGAGAGTTTGCATCTTACCTAGATCTTTAAGGTTTTGTGTAAATAGCATATGTCTTAAAACTATAAGCAAGCATATAATAATGGGAATAAAGTAATAGAATGAAATTACATTAACAAAAAAAAAAATAATCTTTTTTGAAGAGCTTCCTGACAATGAGGTCTAAAAGTCTGCAAAATCATCTCCCAAAGGTACTGGTGGAAGACCAATCACTTGGAGGACAGAATCCAGGCTGGAAAAACACTGGTGGATGTAGGAAACAATCTTCTACTGGCAGATAGACAGTTGGATGACCTAATAGAATCTAGAGATGGAAAAGACCTATGATTCAGTTTTCCATGACTTTCCAAAGCGTTTCACAGATGGTGAAAGTAGGACACAGTGGTTAAGGGACATGCTTACTGTCACATAGTTGGTTGGGGGCTATGAATGAAGCTCTGGAACCCAATACTATTCACTAAATCAACCTGTTGCTTTTTTAATAAGGAGATAATTTGTATGATAGTCATCCCAAATAAAACTGCTTGCTTCCTGTCTCTTCAGGATTTAAACACAACAACCTGTTTCAGACGGGAGGCAGGTAAACTTCAGCAATCCCTACACTAGAATGTCAAAGGTTTAATTTTTACAAGGCAATATTGCAGAATGCCCTTAACATTGCAGAATCATGCATAATAATGGAGAAAGAATTACAGTTTGGAATGTGAAGTCATGAATGGAGCTTCACTGAAATGCTTAGTATATATGAATGCGGCCAAGAACCTCCTTTCAAGGCTTAAACCCCCAAATTTATAAAGCATCTAATTCACTTCTCTTAGATTTAAGGCAAACCAAGCATTTTTGACTTATATAGTCTTCAGCAGCGCCCTGGTTTTGTAAAGACAGCCCTATAAGTCAAGTTACTGGAATAAACAGACCTTTCTACTGTGTCTGTTAATGGTCAGCAGCAGACAAGAAAATAGAAAAAGGATATAGTGATATTTTTCCCAGCACAGTTTTCTCAACTTTGAGATTCACATAGCTCAAGAACACTTGACTCACAAAGAGAACCTTTGTACTAAGTATCTATTATGAAATCTTCTTTCACCAATTATGTTAAGGGATGTTGTAAGTCGCTGCCACCTCCAGCATCTCTAGGACCAGTACAGGGATTCCTCCTGCCTTGCTGCTGGAGCCCAGCCTAGTTCATCCAGAGACCTGGAGGTCTCCATCCCAGGACCATAGATGTGGAAGGTGCTTTCTCATTGGCAGGTTCAACCAGTAGCAAAGCTCACCTATGCAGCTAGCTGCCACAGACAAGGCACTGCCTCAGACAGCAACCACATGTAATATTAGTTACAGGCAGCCAAGACCTCTTCCTCTGGTCACGACTGAAGCTTGCTATTGAGAGTATGCCCTCACCCACCCCCTCTACATTCATGACTACATGCACATTCATGGATCCCTCAAACACCAGCACAGCATATCCCTCTGTCCGTTTAATACCCCTCTGTCTGGGTCCAGAGCCATTGTATTGATCTCATGGGCCTCCTACCTGTTGGCTGGCAGCAAGTCACTAGCAGGCAGCTGCAAGCACTCACAGGTCCCTCGCGAACACCAGCATGGGCCCTCCACCCATCTGGAACTCCTGCCTGGACTCAGTGCCTCTCACTCACTGCTAGTCCAATTTGAAGTCTGCTAGTGAATTACACATTTGGGGTCAAACCATGTGAAAACACAGACACTCCACCTGCCCACATCATCAGCAGGCACCAGGCACATGAGCCGTGACCTGTGGTCTCAGTCCAGATGCTGCACCGAAAGCCTCACTTACTTCACTTGCCCCAGTCTCACCTGTAGCTGTGCGCGGGATGCACACTGTCCCTGTCCTCCCAGCTGGGACATGTGCTGCTCCTGCCCCCATGGAGGACCTGCTACTGCTGTTGACACCACAGGCCCAGGGCACCTACACCCTTGGTCTGACTCTAGTTGCTGTCCCCGAATCCACCCATTCCTCCCAGTAGCTGGCACCTAGTCCTTACCGCACTCGCACACACAGGATAAAGAGTGAGATTACACAGAGTTAAGAAAAAATTTATAAAAAAATGACAGACTGTGGAGATGTGAGAAACACTCCCTCACGGATAAAAAAGTAGACAGGACAAAGTCTTCTAAGCAAAGATTATTCAGGATCAAAATAAACGAGTCAGCTGAACCGGGTGCACCTCAAAAAGAGCACACCTGGTTACAAAACTTCAGGTATTTATGTCCTGTCCCCTTTTCCCATTGGTTAGGTACTTCAGGGCGCACATTCTTTCACGACTGGTTAGCCTATCACAAACTCGATTCACATTCTTCTCATTTTAAGGAGTTGTTTTTCTAAGTTACATAGCTCTGCTTGTGCCGTCGACCCGCAAAATGGCTGTTCATAGCCCTGCTCGTGTTGTTAACACACAAAATGGCTGAAGCAAAACAATCCCTGAGTTCCATCTCTCACAGAAATCAGACACAGGGCTTGTTCAGGTAAATGTACTGATTGGCACTGGTTGGGACTGGCCCTTCCAACACCCCTTCCCACCTATGTCCTCTAAACGTTGTTTAGCGAGTCTTGCATAGTCCACAGGTTCCTCCCCATCGCCAAATACTCATGTTCATCTTGTTCCCCTTTCTTATCAGTTACAAAGTCCAGGCTGGCCTTCCCCAAAGCAATACCAGTCGTTTCTTAATGGGCTGTTACTTAGTGACAGAAGACTTTTTGTCACTGTCTCCATTATCCCTTGTCCACCAGTTCTGTTCCTCTCTATGTTTTTGTTCACCCCTTCCCCCTCCACTTATTATTGCTTCAGCATTGAAAAGGTCCACTACTGGAGGCTCCTCATGAAGAATGCTCTCACCACCTTCCACGTGTCCTCACAGATTACAGCTGCTTTCTGAAATCATGTTAATACTTGGTATCATAACATCCTGTGCCAGTAAATTTTCAAGACTAATGAGGTGTTACGTACCAAGTGAAGCAGGAATACAGAAGTTAAGAGGGAACCAGATAAGTATGCTACTTTGTGAAGTATCCGGTCCACAATAATCCCAGGTTAGGTAAACAGACAAAACCCCTCCTACCAACCAACACACACATACTCTCCTCTCCTTGAAAAATCATCTCTGACAAACATTTTTAACAACCCCCAAATACCTAAAAAAAAATACAACCCCAAAACTTTAAAAATAAGATGTTGAAGTACCTCTGGAGGCATGATGAAAAAATCCTCTTGGGATCAACAGACCCTTCTGCCCTGCACACTGACCATGTTTTCTTTTGTGGGAAATTGACTATGATGACAACAAGAGCTACTGACTCAGGTACACTGCCAGCACCAATGGCACCAGCACCCTAGCTGGCAAATACTGGCATGCCGATGAGTAATGGGTAGTAAGCAACAAGGGGAACAGATCCTTTTCTTTTGATTGCAGTCTGCACCCCTATCTCAATTTCTGTCACGGAACCCTTT